GCGACACAACATCATCCCGAACATTTCTACAGATGCACCAATCAGACTTCCATCTGTAAACCTCACTGGAAGTCCTTTTTGTGTATTGGAAACGTGACATCTGTGGCTGCTGTGGCAATAAACTAATCGACCCCTGACTGAATCAATGTGCCTGACTGCAAAAAACGCTGAATTTTAAGAGAAAGACGAGACTTTAGGGACATAAATGAGCGTCAGGATCGAGCCCACCTTCACTGCCCGGTGACTGAATGAATGAATGAATGGTTGCAGCTTCACTTTCATTTCACACACACAAACATCTGCTGTCAGCTGCCTAATGCGGCACTTTATTCACGCCCTCTTCCTGCCATCCTCTTCCATTCTCCCACACAACTCATCAGTCCCTAAATGCAGTTTGTGTTGATGGATTGATTGAGTTCAGGTGTGCCTCCCACATGTTCCCAGATGTTTTTGTTACAGCATAGTTCTTCTCACGCAGAAGCCTCTCTGAAACTCATCCGGACTTTCCCTCCACTTGCTTACTCAACACAATTTGGTCCAATCAGCATTTCTTTTTTTATGTCTCCGTTCCTCTAGAACTCCCCGAGAGTATTGATTGAGTTTGATTGTCAGAACAGCATTATAATCGGTTATCCCTCAGGTCTGCTAACTGTTTCATATAAAAACCTGGTATCCCACCTGTCCACGATAATCGCCATAAAGCTGCAGCCACAGTACACCAGCTGACAGCTGCCAAAGATCATCCTCTCTAGAAAGATGCTGCACTCGTTCACCCTTTTCTGAATCCAGCATGTCTGTTCGCAGCTTTTTGAAGATGCGTGTAAATCTAGAACGAAATCCCAAACCTCAGCAACAACTGGGTGATCCAACTTCCTGTCGGGAGGCAGTTTGATATTAAACAGGAAAAAAATAAATAAACTTTTTGTACATGTATTTAGCCACACGAACATCCTCCACTCGACTCTGAGGAGGCAAATAGCACGACTAAGACGTAGTGTGTTTAGTAAACTCAAACATGCTGAAGATGAAGATCAACAGTGGAGAAGAGCTTCCGTGCGTGTTTGGACATGTTTGACATGTTTAGGGCTGCAGCTGATGATTATTTTCATCATTCATTAATAAGTTGATTGTGTTTTTAGTTTGGTAAACACATTTTTTAGTCAATAAGATGTCAGACAATAGAGAGACAGGGCATTCAGAAGAGAGTCCAAGTCTTCAAAGGTTTGTTTTGTGCAGAAATCCAAATATGTTCAGTTTATAGAAATATATAAAACAGAGAAAAGCAGCAAACGTTTGGCCTTTTTGCTCTTTTATCAAAATATTCGTAGATGGATTTTCTGTCGATTGAGTGTTTGATTAAGTGATTTTTTTTTGTCCGATCCACGATTGATCCCCAGGACGGTACGAATGTTGTCTTTCCTGTCAGTATAGTTAGTAGATGTTGGTTTAAACAGGAGTCACATATCTAAGGCTAAGGCTCTAAGTGTATTGATATTGGAGGCGGTCCACTTCTCCTATAAAACCCACGGACCCAAAACAGATTTCTGCTGGAATATTCCTTTAACGTTGAGCCAGTTGAACCATCGCTGACCAACTGAGTGTCGGTCACCTGGCGAAGTGACTAATTGTGGCCTCACCGGTGATTTCCCTCCATGTCGGTGGGTCGTACTGGGAACCAGCACAGGGGACCTGGAGGCCCCCCCAAAAACAGGAAGCAGCTGGATCAACATCCTGCCTGGTAAAGAGGGAGGGGTCGCACCGACACAGGCCGCCGTTTGTTAAAACCTCTACAATGTCCTCCTCTGTGTGTCTGCCAGCCAATAGGGAAGCTTCTTTCTGGATTCTTTCCAGACAGATACCAACCCCCCCCACACACACTCACACAGAGTGGCAGCATCGTTACTGGCATCAGCTCTAATAATAGTAGAGTCCAACAGCAGCTCAGTTATTAAACGTTATTTTGGTATTTGAGTATGGACCAAATATGCACTTTACTATGAAAGGATGAGGCGCTGCTTCCTGATTCATACTGTTTCATGGAAACATCTGGAGAAAAACACAACAGCAGTTGTATATTTGTCAGTGTTTTCCGCTGTGAGAGAGGACAGTAGTAGAAAGTAGAGACACGACTAACTTGAGTTGGATAAAATCGAGTAAAGTTTATTTCTGTAGCTCCTTTTAATCGCAGATGTGATGCATAAGTGTTTTATTTTATTGATTTTATGAAGAAGAGCTATTGAACAGCGGTATGATTCTCTTCAACTTATAGCATCTTATTTCTGTTAGCTCTGTTGTTTTTCTCAGATACCTGAAGAGGTCAAACTACGTCTGGCTCTATGTCAAAAGCAAAAAGCCAGGCGTAACGCTGCAGAAGGGGTTTTTTTTGTGTGGTTTTAGTTGCTTTCAATAGGTGTTTAAATGATTAGTTGGAAAGCATTAAAAGACATAGTCTGAGCCGTGTTGTATTTTAAACTTTCCTCCTGTCTGTTTTTCTTGTGCATTACCTTTTAAAATGATTCCCTTAAAGCAAGAGAGAAACTGATGTTAAGGGACCTGCAGGGTTTCAATTCATCGTGCATCAGACTTATATTTATTAAGTGATGCGTAAACTTCGATAACTTCCTGGAAACATACTATTAGTACTACTAGTAGTTGCTGAATGGTGGTGGGACATCATCAGTTTACCTGATGAAACAGAAAGAAATCTGTTTCTCAACCAGACTGTGTTTAAAATTCAGCTGGTTTTGTGTTCGACTGTGTGAAGAGAACAGATCTGATGGCGAGAAGCTTGTTACAGATCCAGTACTTTATCTAGAAAAGAGAAGCAAAGAAAAGAAAACGCAGATTAGTTTCCCACCCTCCTTAATGAGCACACAGGAAGTGTCACTGCTTCCTTCCTGCTGGAATTTCTGGAATGAAAGGAGCATCCCAAACAATGACAGTTGGTAAATCTGTCAAATTATGTGCAGAGGTTTGGCCACTTTCCAGCAATGTAGCAGGGTGTATTTTGTGTGCTTTGGTTTCACATGTTAAATTAGATGCTTTTCTTTCCAGCAAAAACCATAAACCTGCAACTACTGGAAAAGTCTTCAGTGTAATGATCTAAAATCCAAGGCCTTGAACACACAGAACCTCTGCCCTCTTCAGTCCCGACTATTGTTTAAAGTGTGACTTTACGCTGACCACGTAGACGACCTCCAACACATCAGAAAGGAGGCACATTTGTAGATTTCTCTTTATATTTTCACCCCTCTTTCGATCCAGACTTTGTCGTCCTCGAAGGCTTAAGGCGCTCTCTTCCTGGAGGAGAGACATTGTGCGTCTAAAGGCTGTCACAGATTGCTGCTGATGAATTAGTGAAGAGGAACTGAAGGCGCTAAGTGGACCCGGCCTACTGGCCTACTTAGCGCAGAGGCCGAAGGTGTCACAGAGACCAGCGGGGTTGATGTTGTTGTCTGTGTGGTGCTGCAGCAGTGTAGTGATGCTCCCATTTAAATATCAAGTTAAAGTGGGAGTTTATGATTTATAGGTGGTTCTGGAGGTCCAGTAGGAGGCTGTGGTTATTGTTGTTGTAGTGGTTATTGAGGGGTTATTGAGATCCTTAGGGTTAGGGTTTTTTTTTTTTATGTAAAACATACATCTGAAAAATGGTCTCCCCCACAATCTGTCATGAGAATCTTTTTAATTTTTAATAAAAAGGCTGATAAATGATTGTTAAGTGATCTTCAGGCTTGCTAACACATCAGTGTTTTCTATATTTGATTGGCAGAAGTTCAGCCAATATAACCAAACAAGCTTCAGACACGTTTAGATTAGTGCACAAACAGTATTGAGGTTTATTAACCAGCTTGTCAGTGATCCTGTGTTGTGTAAGGCGTCGAAGGATGAGACCTCCCTGATAACTCTGACACTATCGCTCTGCAATAACACACGATCTGAACAAAAGCACACGCTAACAGTTAATGTGTGTGTGGGAGGAACATGACTTAGCTCCCCCTCCTCCCCTCATTTCCCATGGCCTCACTGCCTCTGCTCTGGATCTTAAAACACCGCACACATTCAGTCAAGGTCTCAGTATCCCTAAAACAAACTGGCTCCCATAAGGTGGGGGGGCATTATTATTATTGTCACTCTGAAGAGTTGCACAAATTGTTAGTGTACCCAACGCCAGATCTGTTTGATTTCTGTTTGTTTGCAAGAAATCATGGAGGAGGATTACATGGCCTGCTTTTATCAGAGAAAAGAAAAACCAAATCCTTTATTGTCAGACCTCGAATCTCAAATAGTTCGTCGTCAGACCTTGAATCATTCAGATGTTGAAACGGCCGTCCAAAGACCTCGAATTATTCATTTTCGGAACTTAAATTGTTCGTCATCAGACCTCGAAATGTCCGTCGTCAGACCGAATTTTTCAGACCTTGAATCGGTCATTGTAAGATTGAATTGCTTGAGTTGTTCATAGTTGGATAAATGCAGGCCTGTCTTAATTAAAAATATTTATAAAAGGCCGTTTTTTCCTTCTAAAAATTGAAAATAGGATTTATCTGAGAGGACAACCCACTGAAGCTCAGTTCCACGTTGTTTCTGTATATGTGTCCTGCTCAGTCTGCCATGACTCTCAGCCTGCTGTCCGTCTTCTGTCCGCTCTAATAAGAGGAGTCTTCCTCCTCCTCCTCCTCCTCCTCCTCCTCCTCCTCTGTTCTCCTGCACGACTCCACTGAGCAGGAACAGATCGGATCCCTTGTTACTGTGTCGGTCGAAGTGCGGCTCGTTGTGCCGTCTCGTGTTGTTGACACGGCAGGCCGGGTACGCGGCTCGCTCGACGTTCAAGTGGTTCAAGTCACCAGAACGCTGTTGCTAGGCAACTGACCACCGAAATGGACGCTGACAAGTAGATAACAAAAAAGGGCAGCTGTTCATGCAGGGCGTCCGAACATTTTTTACTCATGAATTTGTTAGTTTGTAATGAACTCCGCACCTGAAGGCACCACGTGTTCAAAACACTTGATTGACAGATGTGTTTTTATTTATTTATTTATTTTCTCTCTCTGTCTTTTACAGATGCGTTTGTGAACAGTCAGGAGTGGACGCTGAGTCGATCGGTACCAGAGCTGAAAGTGGTGAGTTCAAACGACCCGATCTCTCAAATTCAAATTAGTTTTATTGTCGTGACCGAAATGAAACGATAAATTTAGATTTATTCAAGTCTATCTTCATAAAATAACCAACGACGCATCGTCAGAAACACGTCAGGGTGAATTTATCTAAAGGATGTAGCCTGAAAATAGGAGAGCGAGGTGTAGAGACCACTGTGACTGATGGAACGTATAATCTGTACTGCGTGTTCATGCTTTTATTAACACTGTTCTAACAAAACCAGTACAATTAAATTATCACTGAAGGATCCCTCCTCTTGCTCGCAGGGCATTGTGGGTAACCTGGCCAGTGGTAAGTCGGCGCTGGTCCACAGGTACCTGACAGGAACGTACGTCCAGGAAGAGTCCCCTGAAGGTAAGAGTGTTAATCGCTCCCTCTGTCTTCATGAGGTCTGGCTGGATCTGTTTCAGTGTTTTCTTTTGGTCCTCGAGGCAAAATATAAAAACCCCAAACATCCGGCTTTACCCCGCAGCCCCCCTCCTCTTTCCAAGATTAAATCCATGAAATAAAAAAAAAGAAAAGTAGATTAAATCAACTTCAAAAATCACCGAGGAGAAAATAATAAGCTGGAGCTGGATTTAAAACCCCCAGCTGGCAAAATAAGACGTTAACAACCTCCATCTCCGGCACGCAAGCGCCTTTAACTGGAATCCTCTTTGCTTTCCTTCCCTTGTCTCCTCAGTCTGCTCTGAAAGGGAGCACAGATTTGACCATCAGAGCAGAAGTAAATATAAAGAGAGCTGAGATGGTCACGCAGGGGCGTCTACACTCTGCCTCTGTGGAGTTATTACACAAGTTAGTTTACAGCCCAACCAACAAAAGTTCAACATTTAGAGAATTAAATATTTATATTTAAATAATATAATGTAATATTAAATAATAAGTGAGACAAGAAGATATTGAGATTACATTCCAGAGTCAGGACATGGTTAGCCTAGCTTAGCACAAAGACTGGAAGCAGGGGGAAACAGCTAGCCTGGCTCTGCCTGTAGATCACTAACTTGTTTGTTTTAAAATGTAGGAAAACAGAAATGTGAAAATGACAGGTTGTGGTTTTAGATAAAGATAAGTGCTGAGACTACTTCTAAAGAAAAACGCACCTTTTATATAAACACACACTCTCATTTTGTGTGTGTTGAACCAAACCACAGCTGCTGTTATCACTTCTGCGCAGCTCCCTTAGAGGATAATTCAGGTTTATTGCAGAGCTGGTCTTGTTATTCTAGGTTTGATTTTCGATGTTGTCAGTAATGATAACGTTGCTCTCACTCACGTTAATCTGGTAACGCTAAAAAGAAGTTGTAATAAACTGAATTTATCTTTATAAAGATCTAAACATGCTTCCCAAAATAACTGATGGAGCCGGCACAGTAGCATAAATGAAACTTGGTTTCACGCAATACCGACTTTCTCTCCAGAGCTCCTCAATCTTTCATATGGTTCGAGCTGCGAGCAAATAAAAAGCCAACTGTAGTTTCCTTTAGTGTCTCACACGCCCTGCGGAGACGGCCATATTCCTCATCCAATATTAAAGCCGCTCCAACAGGCTGTACAGTCTCCCCAGGCAAAGACCCACTTACGCTAAACCCCGTGTTCCTTTAATATTTCACTGATCCTCCTCACAGAGAAACTCCCCCGTTTCAGGAGAGATTAGACTGCAGAGAGTAGAGACTGGGAGGTTTTTCACCCTCTTCATGGACGAGCGCTGGATCAGACCGACAGAAGATCCTGGAGACGACCCTTTTCCTGTCAGAGGTCACTTCTCACGTCCAGGCATAAGGCTGGCGCAGCATCAAGACTTTTATTGTGAAAGGGTTATCAGTGAGGAGTTTGACCTGCTTCCTCCACGACAGGATGCTGAAAACAAACGACGCTTTTATTCTGGTAGCAAATAAAAGGCTGAATGTCTGCACTTTATCAGGCTCTACTTTATACTATAATTTTTTTAAATTTACCACCTTTTTATATCCGTTTTTGGCTGCTTATTTTAGTATCATATGTTTTCTTTAATATTCGACCCCCTTTTATAAATTTTTTTATAAATAGATATTGTTTCAGTGTGCTTAAAAAGTGGTTGGTCCGACTAATGAAGTTAAAATTAAAGAAAAGGACTTTTCAGAGTAGATTTTTGGTTGTGTTAACAGTCAGTAATCTGTTAGTTATTAAAGAGTTGTGAGGATCACATGACCGATGTTGTACTGTGGAAATGGACATTATACTGGCTTTACCATGTGAGCTACTAGAATACAGGTAATTACAGCCCTGCAGCTGTTATTTGAGCTGAAAGAAGCCAGATCACTACACTTGTAGAGCCAAGAAAACTTTCTCCGCTTGGAACCGCAGCTAATTAACCCTGATTGACCCTTTTTTTGTGTTTGAAAGCCTTGAAAACCATCAAACAAGCTTTATTTGGGATGAAAACCTTGCTGCTGTTGTCATGTGGGGGCCCACCCGGTATCGGCCCACAAACCAGTTTTAGCTCCGGGTCCCTCGGAGAAGAAACGGGGCCTTCGATGTTTAGAGTCAGGGAAAGTTAAACCTCAGCCTAAAGAACAGTTAAATGTTTTAATTAATGTCCCCAGAGGAGATTATCACAGATTAAACTAATCAAAAGGGGGTTTGGGTTCAGCTAAAAGCTACTTCTCAGAGATTTGGATCCACGGAGCTGGTGGTGACGGGGAAACCCCAGAGCAGATTATTTCTAAAATGTGTGAGCAGAAAAAATGATAAGATCATCTTTAGCAGTGACGTACTTCTTCTTAAAACGCCCTCTGTGGCTCTGCAGATCCGGCCTCCAGTGTCAGACCGCTAAATGCTGGACGCTCTGTTTCCACCGCTCGGCCTTAATTACACCACAGCTCTGCCAAAAGCAACACGACACGGCTTTTCAAGCAGCCCCACATACCGTATCAGAGCCAGCCCTAAACAACAGCTCCCCGAAATCTTTGATGTAATTACTTGGCACCGCCGCCCATCAAGGAAACGGCGATTCCAACTCCAATTAAATTAAATAAAAACTCTTTGATATTCTTGCATAACCACCAACAAATAAAAGGCGCTTCAGGGGAAGGAAAAAAAAGCTGATGTGTTGTTTTGAAATTCCTGGGATCTAAAAATAAGCAGCAGCCCGGATTCCCATGGCGATTGATTGGGAATAGAGTTGGTGGCTTGCGAGCGGCGACCGCAGCGCCACAAAGCCACTAACCAGAAGTATTCTTAGGCTGCTGACGACTGCTCTCACATCAGCTCCTGTTAATGAGCAGAAACTGTTTCCCTCCGCTCCGAACTCTGCCCTTCAAACTCCTACGTGCTGCATTCAAGGACACCCACAGGTTTTAAAAACAATGCGCTTACAGAAAATCCAGATGTTCCTGTTGATTCCTTAAATTAAAATGCAGCTGGTCCAGCTTCTAATCAAGACTCCAACTGATGACTGTCATTATCGTTTCATTTACAGATTGTTTTCTTGCTCAGTCGGTCAAATGTTTGGGCTATTAAATGACATCAGAAGTCTTGCTTTGTCCGACCGACAGTCCAAAACCTGAAGATGATCAGTTTAATATCACATATGATGAAGGCAAGCAGCAGATCTTTACACCTTACAAGATTAAAACCAGGATATGTTGACTCAAAACGATGAATTGATCTTTGACATAATAGTTTTTTTGTCACGTGAGTAATTCAAGTGTCCTTGAATGCACCAACAGTTGGAGATGAAAAGACAATAAAACTAAATAAAGTTCACTACATGCTCCCAGCGGCGGATCGTGTATCAGGGTGAAATTAGAAAGTATCAAGCAATCTGAAAACATGCGATCTGCTTTGTTAAAATCACCAGTATTGTTAGCGACCATGTTACAGTTTTGGGGGTTGCCTAACTTGTAAAAATGCCCCCGATAAACCCAGAAAGTGAGACTGGAGCCGAGCGGCAGAGCGGCAGCACATGGGATCCATTAAAACAGAAAGGAGCTTTGGTTGGGAAATCACCCGTTGTTTTAAAACTGGCTGCGTTTTATCTGCGCGACGGAAACAGAGAGAGCAGAACGAGGTCACTCCCTCTAACTTGGTGCAGTAACGTCTTTTAATCAGGCTGTCTAAAGGAAATAATTCATGTAAATTAGGTCAGCGAGGGACTCTTAATGTCAGCAACGGGTCCAGCCCTGACCTTTGACCTCTGTCCTGTTCTTCTGCAGGACGTTTTCTGATGTTTTCTCCCTTATCTGCTGAACCTTCTTCCCCCCCTCTCTCTTGCATCTCGTTAAACTCTCTCTCTCTCTGGTGCTGGGTTGGACTGTGCATGTGTTAACTTGTGGCTGCATCTTTGATGAGCTTTTGTTTTGTTTTGCTTTTTGTTTCCTCCCTTTCTTCTTTCCGGGCTGCTCTTGTAAACTAGCTGACGTGGATGCAGGTAACTATCGTCTCTCTCTCTTCCTTGACCTCTCTCTCTTCTCTTTTCATCCATCCCTCCATCCATCGACCCCTCGCCCCTGTGATTCTGACAGCAGCAGGCTGAGAACAGCTTGGGTTCAGCGTTACGTCTCCTCACAGGGTCATAAAACCTGAGTGAAGGTTGGCGGCAGCTGGGATTCTTATCTTCTTATAGACAATTTGATTCTTAAGACCTGAGGATAACATGTAATGAAAGTTGGCCCATAATAGTCTTAATAATTTACAAGAAGAAGAAGCAGCGTACTCTATATGGAGGACACGGTTTGCTTTGATTTGGGTCTTTTCTCTCAAAAGAAACTTCCCCTAAAATGTTTACTCCTTATCGATTAATGACATTTGAATTCAGCAAACATTTGGCAAAATAAAAGCCAGAATGTTTAAGTTGAACAGAGAAGAATAAAAGTATTTTCTACAGGAAAGATAAACGTTGACGTCTTTGCTTAATGAAGCAGAGAAGCAGCTCCAGTAAACGTGGACCCCCGAGGGCCGCTGCAGGCTTAGATCTCAGACTCCTGACCGGGAGCTGTCCCAGACGCTGCGTCAGGTTTCAGACATGTTTGATGTGCTCGTAGTCGGAGCATCTCGGACTCCATTTGCCCAATCGGAGAAAGAAGTGAAATGTAAATTAGGGATGCACCGAATGTTAATCGGCAGAAAATAGCAAAATCGCTGTTTTAAATTTAAACTGAACAGTTACGTTGACAAGTCGGCAGCGTGGAAGCGTTTGCAGACGCCGTTCTGCTGAATTGCTACATCTGCGGCTGACTTTGAGTGTTTCTGTCACTCATTGTGAGAAGGCCATTAATCTAGAGTGCACGCGTATTCAAGCCTTTATGGTAAATCCACTGAAACGGCCCAGAGCGAGCTGACAGGCAGGTTAGAGACTTCATCCTGAAAAATGTGAATGTACTTGTTCAGTATTCTGCAATTGTTTTCATTATATTTGGCTTCGGTGCATCCCTAGTGTAAATAACCACTTACACACCTGCTGAGTCTTCCTGAGGCGGCTGAACCCGACGCTGAAGGCCACTGCTGCGCCTGAACATGTAGCTCCGCCCCTCATTATTATGTTCTTTAACTCGTCATCCTCCCTCCTAATGTGTGCATGTAAACATTACACTCCCTCACACACACACACACACACACACACACACACACACACACACCCCTACTGTATATAAATAAACATGCACAGCAGAGCTCGACACTCTGCTGACTCGGCATCAGCGCCGTCCATCTGCTCTGCTGCAGCAGCTCGGCGTGGCGTCTTTTACGCAGGAAGCTGTTCATCTGATTTGAGATTTTCTTCTCTAAAATTAAACTGAACCAAGTTATTGTTTTTGTTTTGTTTCAACATGAAGGTAATTTGATACGACAGCAAATTTAATACACAGATTTGTTTGTAACCCTTTCTAATAATGCGCAAGCCTACTGCGTTTCTAAATAATGGTTTATAAGTTAATAATTAATGAGCCGTTTTAATGCTTTTTAGCTCAGCACCCAGCCAGTGATACGAACAGCTTTGGGGTTTCAGAGGAAACATCTTCTTCCTGCACTCTGGCACGCAGAGGCTGTAACTGATGTCCTCTGATTCCTTTTTAAAAGCATCAATAAATCATTTGATAATCGTTAAAAAAAGAACTCCACTCATCTGCTCCCACTCAGACAGTTACAGAGCTCGTCTGGAGGTGGCGGCTTTGACGGCACATTGGAAAGGAGCTGATTATTGATCGATGAGTTGACAGATGCTCTGTTAAGATGTTACAGGTGTTACGACGTGTGAGCTCATTGTTGCAAACTGCTTTGTTATAATCCAGTTTATCAAGTCAGAATCCCTGAAACAGATGTGTGTGTGTGTGTGAGTTGTGGGAACTTCCTGTTTTCCCCTGAACGTTCATGCTGGAAAACTTGAATCGGATGTATTTCTGCATCCATGACGCATCGAGAGCGGAGAGAATAGGGCGAGCTAAAAGTGTGTGTGTGTGTGTGTGTGTGTGTCTGTGGTGGCGATGCGGCGTGCAAATTGTATAGATCATTTCGGCCGTGTGCGTCCTCCTCCTCCTCCTCCTCCTCCTGAGCTGATTGGCCCGGCGTCCTGCCACAAAGTCATGGGAGAGAGAGTGAGGAGGGCGAGCTAAATGTGTGTGTGTCGGCCTCCTCCCGTCCTCGCCGCCGTATAAACATCCACTGTATCATTACTCTCTGCTCTGCAGCGAAGGCGGTCGTTGCAGCGACGATCTCCACGTGCTGAGCTGCAGCAGCGTCGGCTCTCTCTGCACTCGTCCACGGCGTTTGCAGCTCAGCTGATCCCAAAATAACGCCTGGACTCCATTTTTAGTAAATCCCCAGGAAGAGACGTTTGTTCCCACACACCTGAGAATGAAGGTTTCAGCCTGCTGACTTTGATGAACGTCTGCAGAGCGAGACGGAAAGTTTCAGATTTGTGTGAAAAGTGTTTGAGAGAACCACGACAATCACAATAAGTTTCTTTTCAAAAACAAGTTGCAGTTCAGATCCGTGTTGTCTGACAATAAGAGATTGTTTCAGCAGCAGTGCAGATTTTAATGCAGTAAAACTGATGATAACAGACTGCATTAAAACAGTAGATGGATAAATAGCTGTAAAAGAATAAAACGGGAATGAGCAGCGCACCGCGGTCTCCTCATCAGCTCGGCCCTGAACGTAAAGTTCAGCCAAAGGCGCTGGGGTCAAAGGTCAAGCCCGGAGCTTCTCGACAATATTCCCATGAGCCTAAAATGAAAATGAGTCGTGGGAAAGAATCACGTCGGACCCGAGCGCTGCGCTGAAGACTTCAACCTCAAGATGTTCTTCTTTAAATCTTCTCAGGGGAACACACGTCCAGACTTCCTGTACTCGCCGGTTTAAAGTCGGGCACGAAAACGCCCCCCCCCCAAAAAAATGATCTTTAAAATAATAATAACACTCAAGTACTTTTTATTTATAGAGCCTAAGATTAGACATGATACATTTTTACAGTCTCTCAGCTGACGGCGCTCGGCTAAAAACGAAGCGAAAGAAAGGCGAGGAAGAGCAGAAGGACAGACAGGAAGTAGAACGTTTGAACCTTGTAGCGGAGTCAAAGTCAAAGGTCAAAACCAGACGTCACACGTTGGGAAGAATTCAAAAAACGGCGGTTCACCTGCAGAGCTTCATTCCTCACATTCAACCACCAAACAATGACATGTTTTTCAATCATAATGTTTCATTTTGATCGTCGTAAATAATCACTCTCCTCCCATTTAGCCCCGATCATCTTTCACCAAACCAATCAGTCGATAAATCCATCGATCACTGCGGAGCCGTCGATCTGCTCCCCCCCCCTCTGTGAACCCGTAGGTCAGATAGACGTCGGCTCTCAGAGTTCTTCTCTCTGACGGCTGCTGTTGTTTCCCGCAGGCGGACGCTTTAAGAAGGAGATCGTGGTCGACGGTCAGAGTCACCTGCTGCTCATCAGGGATGAAGGGGGCCCCCCGGAGGCTCAGGTGAGTACTGCACCCAGGCTTTGACTTGAACCTGCAGAAAGTTGAGCCGTACTCAGTTAAATCTGTAGATGTCCTGTCAGCAGAGACACACGTCTATGTCTCCTGTCTTTTTGTGCTCACGACGCTCACTTGTTATATCTACTAAAAGAGTTTATATCAAACCACAGCTACACAGTCCTGATGAAGAGGATTTGACTGTTAAATTCTTCATGAAGAACGTAAATCTTCTTATTCAGGTTAATTGTTTTCTTGGAAGCTGGACTTTTTCCCAGCATGCCTTTTTTGAGAGGTGACGGAGGAAGGCACATTTTCCTACGTTGAGGAGGTGACTACAGTTGGGTGGTAGACATCCCTGCGTTATATAAATAAAAAACACAAAAGGACGTTTAAACTCAGCAAGTTTCTTTAGGTGTTATTTGAATGAGGTTCACTGACACATTATGCTTCAGTTGTGATTTTGAGAGAGGTTATTTTGTTTAGGGAGGTAACTGGGAGGGAGAGAAAGATGTTCCTCTATTCTTAAATCCTCACGCTGTTCTTCTTCCCTTAAATGGACGCAAATTAGCCCCCCGTTTCATAAGAATTTGTCCCTGATATCTGATATTATCTGACATGATTCCTGCTTTTTAGATTATTTATTTATTTATTTATTAAAGATGGCAACCTGTGTTTCACCAAAATAGCCAAACCTTCTGTTACTGCGTTACTTATAGGTGGAATTATAGTGAGAATAAATGTTTCCCCTTTCGGCTGGGGGCCCCTGGAACCTCCTCAATAAAAATATATTTTTGTATACCTTCTGTATAAACCTCTCTCTCTCTGATTCCTGAGAAGCAGAGATTCTGGGTGAGTCCCTCCAGGATGAATCTGGGTCAGCTTTTTATTTCGGTGGCGTGCAAACTGACCACACGGAGGTTTTAATGTGAGCGAGTCTAGACAGAAAACTGAATATGAATAATTCACCTGTTTTCTCCCTGCTCCCGTCTCCTCCTCCCTGTGAACGTGCTTCGGTAACACTGGCTGACTTCCTGTCTGAGGCTGCGAGCCCGGTTGGGTCCTACTGAAGAGACATTTCATTTCTTTAAAATGATCGTTAACAAAGTTATTTCCCTGTCTGTCAGTTTGCGTTGTGGGTCGACGCCGTGATCTTCGTCTTCAGTCTGGAGGATGAGATCAGCTTCCAGACCGTTTATCACTACTTCAGCCGCCTCGCCAACTACAGGAACACCGCTGACCTGCCGCTGGTCCTGGTCGGCACGCAAGGTCTGAAACACACACAGAATTACACACTCTCTGCTTCTGTGGTCAAACCGTGGTTTTCTGAGGCGTTGCTGCCGCCCAGTGGCGTCTTTGCATCATTACAGAGAAACTCTACTACTTTCTCTCAGAGCTTCACTGCATTGATTAAGATGTTTACGTGTTCACTTGTATCCTGGTTTCAATCACACAGAAACCTGATTCTACGTCCGGTGGAGGCTGCAATTAAATTAAATGAAGAAAAACGCCACCTGTTTGAAAGTTATTTAAGTAGAAAACCTCTTGTTCCCAGTCGGATCTGTTTAAAGACAGATACCAGCCCGACCACAGTTATATTTAATACCAAAAATATGGAGGTGGAGCGACAATAATACATCAAATATAGATTAAAATATCTTGTTATATCAGCTTGTCACATGACATTAAAACAAAGCAAGGCGGCAGCTCAGGTTAGACTGTTTTGTTTAGATCCAAGTGGCTCTGCCCGACCTCTCTGCCCGACCTTCAAATTATCTCAACTTTATTCATATAGACCGTACTCTTTGTAACATGATTAATAAAGACAGTTCAGAGCAATCACACACACAAAGTAAAGAGAAAGAACTGCTCGTATTGTCTTTATCTAGAACAGTTTGGACTTTAACTCGTCATCAGGCTATTCCACGTGTTTCTGGAGGACCCTATAAATAAACCCTATGTGTGTCCCCGGAGGGCCACACACCAGAGTGTGGGGAATCATCTGCACAAGCACACATTTTAACAGCAGAGGGCGCCACAGCATCATCTCTGAACAATGTTCTCTTGTTCTTCCTCTCACGTTTGTCATCATTTAAAGCAGGATACTGACGAGGTTTAGTCAAAGAATAAACAACCTGAAGAGAACGAAGCCCAGAAGGTTCCAGTGTTGCAGCCTTAACCAGATATGATAAAGGGTAGATCTTTTACACCACTCTGTTACAGTGCTGGAAGCAACGGTAAAGAAAGGTTGAAGAGTTTGTGCTTGGATTTGAAACCACAGTTTGATGGAGCAGACAGGACTTGCTGGAGAAAAGCTGGTCGCAATTTATTTTTTGTAGTGAAAGACTTTGAACCTTGTTGTCATTTTCCCTCCCAGACGCCATCAGCTCAGCCAACCCGAGGGTGATCGACGACAGCCGAGCCAGAAAGCTCTCCAACGACCTCAAACGCTGCACCTACTACGAAACCTGCGCCACCTACGGCCTCAACGTGGAGCGGGTCTTCCAGGACGGTAAGAACTGTGTCTGTGTGTTCGGGACAGCAGAGTCCAGTCCTCTGGGAAGGTCAAACGCCCCGGCCAGAGCCATTCGGCCGCTCTTAATCACACGCCAATTAAGAATTAAATGGACCCGCTCAGCTATTTAGCTCAAACCGAACAGCAATTAAGTTTTATCATAGCGAGGGAAGGAAGGCAGGGAGGACGGAGAGCTCGCAACAGAGACGATTCCCCGACGGGATTAATAAAAGAATCGGACATTATAGGAGGAGGAGGAGGAGGAGGAGGAGTGTCCGGAGTCTTCAAGGTCCTGACTGACCGGGACACGGCGGCCATATTGTCAGGACTTTTTTTAGGCCTGGTCTAACAGACTGACCTTTTGACCTTCAACATTTTGTTCTTTACTACGTTTACAGGGAAGATGCTCAGAGCGGGTTTGATCCGGAGGGAACTCGACCACCTGGGGTTCATTTATCAGGACGAGAGTTTAGATCATCTCTTCAGTCCGCTCCTGCGCTCTGTAACGTGGCCGACGCCATCTTAAACCTCAACTATCTGCAGGGCTGATCTGTTTGAAGAAAAGGCTCTAGTTACCTTTTTCCGGATTTAAATTGCAGTAATTTCTTACATTCAAAAGTTATATTTATTTACACACTTCTTGTGATAATGACAAACTGCTGTGAAACATTGTCTGATGATATTTTGATATCTGACTGACGCTGTCAACGGATTCGGAGCTTTTAAAGTGACGATATGACGTTTTTAAATGTAAACAGGAGAATCCAGCGCTTCTGTTCACAAGCTGTCTTTCCTTCACACTCGACAACTACCACCTGTCCGAAAACCGATGTTATAATCACGTCTGCACTCTTTAAAATTGTGATCTCGATATACGAACGAGTTGTTGATGAGCTAAAACAAACACTGAGATTCGTGACTAAGGGTCGGAGCCCCGGCGGGTCCTTTTATCTTGACGAGGTTCGGGGGGGGAAAGTATTTTCTATCATTGCACCGAAGTATCTTTGCAAATAGCAAAACCCTGCGGCTCATGTTTTACATTTTGAGAGCACATTAATAAGAGAGAGAGGCAGCGGAGAAGTTAATGAAGCGGCCGGTCGGCAGGCGCAGGGTTAACGGCTGTAATTAGAGAGAAATAGATGACATGGACTCTGCGGTTTAATTAGCAGAGCTGCAGCGAGTCTGCCGGCCTCTGGCTTTGTCTGCATCCACCTGAGTTTTACATTCAGCAGGTCAGTCTGCTGCTGAAACGGGTGGTCAAGGCTTGTTTTTTTACTTTCGATGAGCTTGAAGTGTTCGACTTTGACAAAACAGGCAACATCATAACAGATTTAGGGATCAAGCAGTAAATCTGTGCCGACTTTAAAATGTTGTCTTTGCTAAATTAAAGTGGAAACCAGACCAAAGTAATAAAATACACATAGTTAGGTCAGTGAAGTGCTCTGTTTCCATAGTTCTGCAGCAGATAAATTAGTTAAGAAAAGTTAAGAATTTGCTCGACTGATACGCCTGATTTTGACACTTATCGCCTGATTTTGAGAGCCTTACGTGTGATTTTGACACTTAACGCCTTATTTTGAGAGCCTAACGCCTGATTTTAAGAGCCTTACGTGTGATTTTGACACTTAACGCCTGATTTTGAGAGCCTAACGCCTTATTTTAAGAGCCTTACGTGTGATTTTGACACTTAACGCCTTATTTTAAGAGCCTTACGTGTGATTTTGACACTTAACGCCTTATTTTAAGAGCCTTACGTGTGATTTTGACACTTAACGGCTGATTTTGAGAGTTTAATGCCTAATTTTAAGAGCCTAATGCCTTATTTTAAGAGCCTTACGTGTGATTTGTTGGTTTTGTAAACAACACACGGCAATGGAAAGACAAGATGCGACGATCCTCGTTCTGTTTTCTGGCTCTTTTTTCTGCTTTAGTGTGAAACTACACTGAGCATGTTTGGTTTCTATCGATCGTAGCTGTCACACTATTGTCCAGAAGCTGAGAAACGTCAAAAGAGTTTGAGCGCTGCTGATGGACCTGTAGTACCTGGGTAGGAACTCAACACAGTCCCTGGTTCTTCTGGTCAAAACACACGGAAGAAAACCCTGCAGCCTCTGAACCAGCTTCATTTCTCAGGTGTCATTGCTGTGTTTGTCCTGAGGGGGGCAGTGCAGGAACAGAGACGCCGCCCTCTGAAGGACGCCGATCAGTCACAAACACTCGATCACTTTCCGTGAAACATCTCTGAATTCTTACAGTACACTAATGTGGTGCGAGAAGAAGAAGAGCGTGAGGGGAAACCACAGAAGAAGAGCTGAAAATCCTGGGAACGTGAACGAAGGCAGTTTCTGGCAGTAGATCATAAACTGTGTGTGTTCCCCTGCTCTCTCGGCCCAGGAGGAAGCTTTCCACACTAAACGCTGCCTTATTATCTTCTTAATTATTCCACCGTGTGCGTTAGTGTGTGCGTCTGACACTGTCTCCTCGGATTTTTCTCGTCATTTCCCCAAATTAATCAGTTTCTTAATCATCCAGCAGAACGATGAGTTTAATGTTTTCAGTCAACGGACGAAACATGACAGCAGCCTGCAGCTTTGTGCGTGTGTGCATTTTATTATTTCAGTTTTTTGGGTGTGTGTCTCTGTGTGTGTGTGTGTTCTTTTGTTTGCGTGTGACATGTGTATCCACATAATGTGTGTGTGTGTTGTTAAAAGGTTTGTATGTTATTTCAGATGTAAAGATGTATTTCTGGGAGTGTGTGTTACTGTAACTGCACTTTGTTTTTGTGTGTGGGGTTTTCACACACACACATGTACACTCTCTCTCTCTTTAATTACTTCTTAGCGTGACCTTAATTTGCGGCGAGGACTTCAGTAATGACGCCGCTCGGCTCTCGGCCTTCAGCCACTTAAAACATTCGCCTTCTTCTAATTGGTCAGAAGCATCGCATCATCACACACACACACACACACACACAGACACACATCAGAGCTGCAGAGTCACTGAATTTGAACAGAATTTATGTAGAAACGTTTGTCGTGGAGATAAACAGGAACTAAACTCACCTGTGTGACTGCATACCTGGATTTACAAAAGCTCAAGTAACAAAACATTAACAAAGTAATCAGTAGTTAAAGTTCATTTACAGATGGAGACACATTAATATGCCTTAAATATAAAATGTCCTCAAGTATTAAACACGCTTTAAAGTTAATAAACATAAATATTAATATGTAGTAAGTCTTTAAATTACTTTGTCTTTACATCTTTTAGCCTGAATATATTTAGAAATTTGGTGTAAATAAATAAGCTCGCACTGATCTTTCAATCATGACATTCATCAGATTTTATTTATACAGTT